CCTGCACGGGAGAACGGAGCTGGGAAGCAGATTAGTGGGGTGGGGAGAGAATGGGGATTTTATAGTATCCTTTCCAAGTGATTATTCCTTTTTGCTGATAATCAGTATGTGATGGGATTCAAAAAAAATTTACTACCGGTTCTGTGGGTGTGGTGTGGCTAGGTGGGTGTGGCAGGGGAAGGATACTGCAAAATCCCCATTCCCTTTCCACTCCTGGGGGAAGGATACTGCAAAATCCCCATTCCCTCCTCACTCCTGGGGAAAGAATACTGCAAAATTCTCATTCCCTTTCCACTCCTGGGGGAAGGATACTGCAAAATCCCCATTCCCTCCCCACTCCTGGATGAAGGACACTATAAAATCTCCATTTCTACCCCACTGCAGGGGAAGGATACTATAAAATCCCCATTCTCTCCCCACCCCACTAATCTGCTTCCCAGCTCCGTTCTCCCGTGCAGGGCAGCAGAAGACCCAGCCGATCAGCTGAGACACGGGAGGCAGCGAATAGATGGGGGTGGAGCCAGCCAGAGATGGTATTTGCCGGTTCTCCGAACTACTCAAAATTTCCACTACTGGTTTGCCAGAACCGGTCAGAACAAGCTGAATACCACCTCTGGTATGCCTACAGTGTTTAATTTGGAAAGTTTTATGAGACATGTAATTATTATGGTATGTCTTATTCACCATCTTGATAGGCAATTTATATACACAGAATCCCAAATAGTTGCATGGATCTGTCAGGAGATTGTACTACAGGTAGAACTGAATTAAATTTTTATGTGAGCAGAATTCCTTTGGCTGCCTGGAATTCAGCTTAAATAAATTCTGTCATCCCCAACCATCAGGACAGGTTCTTTTAATAGGTGAAATGAAAACCAGGTGGATGTGTTTTTTTAAAATAAAATACAAAGAAGGAAAATTATGGGAGAGGAATCACATTGTATGCCAAATTGGCAGATGTGTTACAGATGATGGAGTCTACCCGTTGGAACGGCTTGTACATCCATGAATCTTTCTTGGCTGCTGTGTGTCTCAGAAGCACTCGAATGCACTGAGAGGAGTGACAGATAATTGCAAAATTGCCTCCTTTTGAATGGATGCAACCTCCGAGAACCAAGCAGGAGTATCTCAGCTTTCTATCTACTGAACGCAGAGCCAGCCAAGACGAGACAAACCTGCCAGATCAAAGAAGAGCAATCAGTGGCTTTTTACAAACCTTCCCTTCTTTTGCAGTCCATCTCTATGTGAACCGTAACTCGGGAGCTGAGCATCTTCAATGTAGAAGGTCCCAGATTAAATCTTTGCCTTTCTTAAATGTTACCGAAATTAACTTCCAGCCATTGGTTACATAGATCAGAGATGGTAAGAGTTTAGGTTTATTCATTCCGTTTTGCATGCAAAGGCCCATGGATTCCCCATCATGACTTTTAGGTTTTCAGCTGCCAAAAAAAGCCAACACAGTTCTAGGCTGCATAAACAGAGGGATGGAATCAAGATCACGTGAAGTGTTAATACCACTGTATAAGGCCTTGGTAAGGCCACACTTTGAATACTGCATCCAGTTTTGGTTGCCACGATGTAAAAAAAGATGTGGAGACTCTAGAAAGAGTGCAGAGAAGAGCAACAAAGATGATTAGGAGATCGGAGGCTAAAACATAAAGAACAGTTGCTGGAATTGGGTATGTCTAGTTTGATGTAAAGAAGGTTTAGGGGGTGACATGATAGCAGTCTTCCAATATCTCAGGGGTTGCCACAAAGAAGAGGGAGTCAAGCTAGTCTCCAAAGCCCCTGAAGGCAGGACAAGAAGCAATGGGTGGAAACTAATCAAGGAGAGAAGCAACTTAAAACTAAGGAGAATTTTCCTGACAGTTAGAACAATTAATCAGTGGAACAACTTGCCTCCAGAAGATGTGAATGCCCCAACACTGGAAGTTTTTAAGAAGATGTTGGATAACCACTTGTCTGAAGTGGTGTAGGGTTTCCTGCCTAAGCAGGGGGTTGGACTAGAAGACCTCCAAGTGTGCACCAGGTCTTTCCTCAACAGCAGACATGTCTACATTGACCAGTTTCTGCAACTATGTTGATGCGTGACTTCGAAATAATTGTTGCACCGTATTGTTAAGGGCATATCAACATTTGCCTAGCAATTTCTCAAAGTGTTTCTCAAATTTCTCAAGTGTTTATCTGTGAAACAAGATTCCATTTTTCTAACATTCTCAGGAAGCTTGAGATAGGGAGAGACAGGGGGGAGGGGGATATATATATATATATATATAGCCTACAAACCTGAAGTTTGGCACGTATGCTCCTCTTGGCTTCTAGGTGCTCGCTAAGAAAGGATTTTTCGAAATGACCATCACATCATTAGTATTTCTTATACAGTAATTAACATACTTTGATGCTAATGAGTTCTACTCCCCCTCCCCACCTGAAAAGAATTCTGTTTCAACTGCCAGTTGCCTCACATTCTGTTACCTCAGTTCAAACTGGCAAACATTCCACTCCTTCACACAGGAGCAGTCTGGGGGCTCCTTACAGTACTAAATGTCGGTACTTCACCACAATGTTTACACCTTTTACCTATGGAACTGCTTCC